TGGATGGATGGATGGATGGATGGATGGATGGATGGATGGATGGATGGATGGACGAACTGACTGCTTCTGAAAACATTTTTTAATCTAAAGCGTTGCATGTTTATGCCATCTACCATATTTGCTGTATGTAAACATGATGTGCTAGCACCATATAGACCTGTTAATAAATATTTACTTTTATATTTTTAAATCTGAGAAGCCCTTTAAACATAGAAATGGCATCAGGTCGATCTTCTGATCAGTTGAGATAAGAAATGATCAACTGGGCTGAGTCTGATTGCAAAATGCGTTGTCTACGTTTCTGTTGTCAGAAAAAGAATGGAAAAAGCCCTTCAGCTCACCTCACACATTTTCAGCTGCAGAAACAGCACGGCAGGAGGGAATTAAATTTCTTTTGTAGGTCACGGCGATGCTTTGCTGTGGAATTTCACATCAGCCTTCTGCGCCTGCTGACAACCAGACCGGCTGGAGCGGAAAGTCTGAGCGGGCTCGGTCATTTCTGCCTTCCTCCTCTCTCTGTCACCCCCTCTGGCGCTCGTATGTGTGCATTCTTGACATCTTTCCCCAGAATACTTCACACACAGTAAGCAGCAGCCCCGGCCAGCCAAAGCGTCTGCTGTCCACTCATGTCCAACATTTTCATGTCTGCGGTACAGCTTCTGTTTGTTTTGTATCTGATCAAACTTGAACTCAGATGTACAAACCCACAAAACACATTTACCTTTACCTTATCTAAAAGTTTGGTTCTGTGGGGAACTTGCATTGTTCTGTGTCTGCTGGATCGGTTCTTGAACTGCTGGCTGAAACAACATCATCAGAACTGTGGCCTATCTGAAAATGCCCATGGACAAATCTCAACGTCTGATTCTGATTCGGAGTTCAGTCATCGTCCGTTGCCGTGATCGTTACTATCATCATGCTGCTAATGGGACCACACCGCTAACAGGACCACATTGCTAGCAGAACTACACTGCTAACAGGCCACACAACTAACAGTACCACGCTGCTAACAGAACCACGCTGCTAACAGAACCACTCTGTTAACAGGTCACGCTGCTAACAGGCCACGCTGCTAACAGTACCATGCTGCTAACAGTACCATGCTGCTAACAGTACCATGCTGCTAACAGTACCATGTTGCTAACAGGCCATGCTGCTAACAGGCCATGCTGCTAACAGGCCACACTGCTAATAGGACTACGCTGCTAACAGGCCATGCTGCTAACAGTAACATGCTGCTAACAGGCCACACTGCTAACAGGCCATGCTGCTAACAGGACCATGCTGCTAACAGGACCACGCTGCTAACAGTAACATGCTGCTAACAGTAACATGCTGCTAACAGGCCACGCTGCTAACAGGCCACTCTGCTAACAGGCCATGCTGCTAACAGGCCATGCTGCTAACAGGCCACGCTGCTAACAGTACCATGCTGCTAACAGTACCATGCTGCTAACAGGCCATGCTGCTAACAGGCCACGCTGCTAACATGCCATGCTGACAACAGTAACATACTGCTAACAGTAACATGATGCTAACAGGCCACGCTGCTAACAGGCCATGCTGCTAACAGGCCATGCTGCTAACAGTAACATG